GTATCAAGCACTTATGGGCCAAATTCTGCAATCTACACTTTAATACAACCTTTGTCAAGTCAATGGGGAGGTTGTCTCTAAGGTTGGAAGTCGGGCCCATTTTCACACTCCTTTACACAAGCCCTTGCACATAAAAGGCTCATCTACATGTGATATTAATGCACTCCAATAAACTCTGGCACACAGTTTATTGCTCCTGGGTACAGCATCTTTGCGTGACCCTGGGACCACGGCACATTGAGCCAGGCTGGATCATCCCTGGCTGGCAGGGAATCAGGAGTGAGGGGTCAGCCTGCCAGCCTGGGGCTAATCTGACCTAGCTCAATATGCTGGGGAGGGGCTGGCTGGGGTACAAGGATGGGAGGGAGGCCAGGCTTGACCCAGGTATCCCTTGCCAGCCTGGGGCTAGCACCCAGGGCAGTCTAGATCTCCCCCTGGCTGCCATGTGATGGAGAGATGGGCAGGAGCAAATTTACTCCTAATAGGCACGTGTGTAGACATACTCACAGGGAAAGCTTACTGTGCAATATTTTACTGTATAGTAAGCTTTCTGTGCATTAACTGCATGTTGAGTGTAGAGTAGGCACACCCTTGTGTTTACAAGTATTAACATACAATGGCGTTACTTAATTTAGTCCATCCTAAAAGCACCGCATGTGTAGACACTGAGATGTTTACTGCAGAACTAATTAGGCAATTCTGTAGTAAATGGCTTATGTAGACCTGTCCAGAAGTTGCAATTGATATCATCCTTGCTGTCTTTCTTTGCTTTACATTATGACTAGGAACTTAAATTACACATAAATACCAGTATACATTGTCAGAAACCAGTTCAAATCTAACACAGCAGAAGTTCAGTGCACATAAACTGCTTCCAAGATGTCTGAAACTCATTTAAGATAAACCTGGATGAATGCAGTATCAGACTTAACTGATTTAGGTTAAATTGGTTTATTGAACTTCTGCCCCAGATCCCCTCAAGATTCAAGTTAACTTTCAGTCCTCCAGCATCCCAGGATGCTTTGCACTTCCCCTGCAACCTCCTCTCCCCCTTGCAGAGTGGGCAGGCTAGCTTTGCCCCAGCTATCTGCTCCAGCTGAGCAGGGAAGCATACTCTAGCACCCCCTGGCTTCTGATCTGGGCAATTGAAGGCGTGTGGCTGCGTTTTGTGAATCAAAAGTGAATGTCTGTTTGCTTGCTTATCAGTTCAATCTGCACAGCTTAGACTAACCTGCAAAGATTGAATACATTCAGCCTCATTCATGCTTTTTAACTGTGCGTACTTAGCCTATAAAACCATTGTCCTGAAAATTGGTAAAATAGATTGGAGCTTAAAGTTGGGCACATGCATAGCATTTGCAGGATCAGTGCCTAAAATGACACTAGAAGGAAAAGGAAAATGAATATTTATAAATGTATTAATTGTTTGAAATATGCCCGCCTTTTTATATAACAACTCAGTGTTTCTTTCCAGGAAAAGATTATTTCACCTTTCAATAATTAAATGTCATAACTTACTTTAAAAGTTTTCTTTCTGACTAGGAAGTTATTGCAATCAAGTAATACTTTCCAAGAGCACTTCAGTGATTACTCTTTCACTAAAAGCTGCATAGTGAAATCCTGATTCAATCAGAAAAAGAAAATATTGTGTCAAAAAGCTTTCTTTGCTGTGTAAAAGAATCTCTTAAGCAGTGACATGAATGCTAAAGCCAACCAGTTCCCCGCTTAGATAAACTTGTGAAAGCTACAAACTCTTGAAAATCCAGGAAACACAAGTATTAAAATCCTGAAGTATAATGAAAAGGTTGTTTTTTGGAACAAATTCTGTTCAGTCTTTCACAATAGAGTGATATTGGTATTTTATGTCCTTTGTGCTGTAACCTCCCATGCTATTCATTGCTTTGAAGTTTTGAGTTAAACAAATAAGTGCAGAGGTCGCATCAATGGATTACCACTTCAGTCGCACCTTTGGCTTTCACTAATCCTCATTTTAATTTGTCCACAATTCACTGTCAGGATCTCAGTTGAGATTCCTTTGGTCCTGATCTGAAGGGCTTATTTTATGGCATTGGTGTGAACAGGTTTACAAAATAACCAAAAAGAGTGTTAACAAGTTTTGACAGGGGATTAATGCATAGTCATAGTTGTGGATTAAGGGATCATTTAAATAATTTGCATTTTGCAGATCAGAGCACTGTTCTAAATTAATTTTATGCACTGACTGTACATATGTGTTCTGCCTTTAACTTCAGGGGTGTACTTGATAGCCGTGTTGGTCTTTAACTTTAACTTTTAAACTTTATTTTTTAACTTCTAACTGCCTTTAACTTTTGTTTTATAAAAACTCAATCTCTGCCATTTCAATTAAATAAATATGACTGAGGGAATTATGAAGTTGCACTGTAGTTTACATTTATAACATGGTAGCTTTAGGAATTGTATTATATGTCATGTGTGTCTTTAAAGCATTCATTTCCTTTTCCTTCTTTTTTCCACCCAAACAAAATACACTTTCTATTGTTCATACCTGTGATAGCTTCCCTCGCAGCCCGGGAGCCCGCTATCCACAGGTTAGGTAACAGATCTTTCAGATGGACTTGTCTTCAAGAAATTTCCGCCCATACTTATCAATGATTGCTAAACCATTATCCCGCCCCCCCCCCAACAATACTTATCACGAAACCATTATTCTATGATTCTTCTCCTATTGTTAAATGAAAAAAATATAATGGGCACATCTACAGGTACAATTAATGTGCCTGAATAGACTCTGGAGCGTATTGCTCCTGTGTCTTTTGTTCCTGGGCACACTATTTGAATGTGCTTAGGAGCAAAAAAATCTGGAGTATATTGCTCTGGAGTTTATTCAGCCAGAAGGTGGCCAGCCAGCAGGTAGCATTGAAGCACTCCAGTCAGCCAGGCAATGTCTACATATGCACACAAAATGTATTTACAAGTATTAGCCTGCTCCAAAGTTTATTAGTTTTGCACACCCTAATAGGGGCTCATGGCTAAATGTGGAGAGATTTACTGCAAAGCTAATTAGGCAGCTTCATAGTAAACACTGTGTAGATGCCCCCAATGGGC